TGAAAGAAGCGGTGAGACGGCGGGTGGTAAAAGTGCCAGTCGGACGCGTTAAGGGGAAAACCGAGGAAGACGCAGGGAAGGGTGCGGGCAGTGAGCTTGTCCGTGCCGGAGGCACGAACGTGAGCAAGGCAGCCCCAGACGTGGAACGCAGACGCGTCACCAGGAGACCCAGTCCACAGACGGGTCGGCGAAACCTGCGGCTGCTGAGGGTGCGGCCACAAGTTAAGCTGGTGAGAAGCGTAGCGCACAGCGAACGGCCACAGAAAATGGGGTGCACCGGCATGGATCATGGAGGTGCGAGCCACCTCCATGACCAAACCGATGCGTCGCTCAGCGACCCCATTCTGCTGTGGGGGAGTCCGGTAGGGTGAACGTCTGGGTGATGCCCTCCGCACGACAAAAGCGACCAAGGACACCTGAGGCAAACTCGCCACCACGGTCGGAGTGGAGACGCAAGACAGGGAGACCGCGTGGACACGCGCAGAGACAAGCCAGGGGATGAGAGCGCCAGGCACGTCAGCCTTGCGCTCCAGGGGAAAGACTGTGGTGTAGCGAGTGAAGTCGTCGACAAGCACAAGGAAGTAGCGCTCTCGACGCGGCCCAGGGACGGGGGCGGGGCCCCAGACGTCCAGGTGCAGGGTCTGCAGCGGCGCGGCGGTAGGGGGAAACGAGGAGGAGTGAGGGGCACGGCGAAGCCGACCCTCGACGCAAGGCGTGCAAGGTGGGGCTGGGGAGGAGGGAAACGCAGGGAGAGAACCTGGGAGACCAAGGACAAGACCCGTGCTTGGGACATGTGACGCAAGACGCGGGAGCGCAGGGTGACCTAGGCGGTGGTGCCAAAGGAGGGTCGGTGAGTGAGAGACCGACAAGAGCAGGCAGCAGCAACCTGGGTGAGCGCTCCAGCCGGGGGGGTCACGGTGTCCAGAGTGAACAGGCCGGACACCGGGTCCCGGGGAACGTGGACAGGGGGGCACCAGTGGCGGCCTCGGTACAGACAGCATACCGCTCGTGACCAGGGAACGTAGTGGTGACGCCAAGGTCCTGGAGGCAGCCGACACTAACTAGGTTCTGGAGAACGAGGGGATATGCAGACCTGTAAGAGAGCCCGAAGGAACCGCCGGACAGGGAAGGGTGGTGGAACTGCGGGCGACGACCGGACCGCCAGAGGGGTCAGCGAGAGAAACGGCAGCAGGGACGGGAAGCGGCGTCAGTGTGGTGGAGTCGCGGAAGAAACACCGAGAAGCGCCAGAGTCCAAGGTGAAGGAAAGCGAAGCAGAGGCGTCTGGCGACGGAACGACGGCGGAAGCACCAAGACTACACAAAGCAGGGGATCCTACGCCTGACGCAGCAGGGGAGGCTAAGCTAGGCACACCTACACTAGGCAACAGTGAGTAATAAGCTGGAAGCACACTAGAGTCATCAGCATACATCACATGCAGAGCATAAACAATGGCATCCATGTCCATATCAAAGATCTGAATCTTACGACTAAGCAAAACTGTGCCAGTCCGGGAGGTCTGGCAACGGGCCGTAGCGCTGACGAAAGAGGTCGTCCAGGCGACGAAAACAGCGGGGAGTGGAGTGACCGATCTTACGCAAACGAAGCCGCGGCGAGGACCGGTCTGGATCTGGTACTGACAGCGCCCGCCGCCAGAGCTACCACTCGACACCACACGCGCCCGGCCACCGCCAGCGCCGGGCCACCCGGGCGGGAGGACACTCGTCTGCCGCGTCTGCGACGGCTGCTGCGGCTGCTGCGAAGGCTGCGACTGCGGCGGCTGCTGCGGCTGTTGCAACTGCAGGGGCGGCGGCTCAGCTGAACTGGGCAGGGTCCCTCGTCCGCTCCAGCACCAGACGACCCGACCCCACCACTACCCCCTCCCGCACCCCCGCCTCCGCCTCCGCCGCGCCCAACCTTGGGGCGGCGGCCCTTCCCCGAACGAAACTGCGCAGCAGCAGCAGTCTCAGCCACTGCGACAGAGCCGTCGGAGAAGGTACACTGGGCGGGGGCACAACCCTGAAAGATAGGGACAGGCACGACACCGCTCGCCTGGGCGATGGAGCGGTGACGGGTCTCTATCACAGTCAGAGGTGTCTACAAAGTCAGTGAGGGTGAGGTCGGCGGGGTGAAGGCTAAGGAAGCGGTCGCGCGCGACAGCAAGGCGGTCAGGGTGGCGGGTGGCAAGCAGGTAGAGGGTAGAGGTAATGGGCGGCTGGTGGGCTCTAAGCTGTGCGTCAGTGCAGGCGGCGCGCCAGGTCTCCTCTATCGAGCGCAGGTGGGCGCGAGGTCAGAGACAGTGGGGAAAGAGGCAAGGTCAGGAAAGAGCAGCGGGAGGATCAGGCGACCCACCGAGGCAGCCGGAGGGGTGGAATAGCGCTTGATGACAGCATCTAAGTATGCCTGAGCAGTAGTGAGGGACCTAAAGCGAGGACGCTTGGACGGGGGGAGGGCGTTGCTAATGGCAAGCTGGGCGACAGCATCGCGGGAAAGCCAGACAGAGCGCGCACGGGCAGTGGCAGCAGTAGACTCACGCTCAGTGGGTGTGGGGTCAGCGGGCAGAATAGCAGGGGGGTCTGGGCAGGGAGCGTACCGTCAAGATGTGCAGAAAGCGGTTCACCATCCTGCCGTGGCCAGTGAGTTGGCGGCGGAGGTCGGCAAGCCACGCCTCGAACTCTAGGGGCTGACCTTCAGCGTTGAAGCGAAGCTCCGCCGCCATCAGGAACGGTCCAGTGCGCTGGCAGGGCAGTGCAGCTAGGTGGAGTGCGGTGCAGTGCGTAAGTGCGGTGCAGTGCGGTTGCAGTGCGGTGCAGTGCGGTGCAGTGCGGGTGCAGTGCGGTTCAGTGCGGTGCAGTGCGGTACAGTGCGGTGCAGTGCGGTGTAGTGCGATGCCAGGCAGTACAGTGTGATGCGAGGCGGCACGGAGCAGGGCGGGGTGGGGGGGAACCGTACCAGTGAGGAGGACGGGGCCGGGGCTGGCCCGACGGGGCCGGGCAGGCGCTACGGGGCCGGGCTGGTGCGACAGGGCCGGGACGGGGCGACGGGGCCCGAGCGGGCGCGACGGGGCCGGGCTGGGGCGACGGGGCCGGGCGAGTGCGGCAGGGCGGGCCGGTGCGACGGGGCCGGGCGAGCGGGACGGCGGCCCGGGCAGGTGCGACGGGGCCGGTCGGCTGTGACGGGGCCGGGCAGGGTGCGACGGGGCCGGGCGGGTGCGACGGGCCGGGCGGCTGCGACGGGGCCGGGCAGGGTGCGACGGGGCCAGGCGACTGCCACGGGGCCGGGCGGGCCGCGACGGGGCGGGCGGGTGCGACGGCGCCGGGCGGGCGCGACGGGGCCGGGCGGCTGTGACGGGGCCGGGCAGGGTGCGACGGGGCCGGGTGGGTGCGACGGGGCCGGGCGGCTGCGACGGGCCGGGCAGGGTGCGACGGGGCCAGGCGGCTGCGACGGGGCCGGGCGGGCGCGACGGGGCCGGCGGGTGCGACGGTGCCGGGCGGGCGCGACGGGGCCGGGCGGCTGCGACGGGGTCGGGCAGGGGCGACGGGACCGGGGGGGGGTACTACGCGGCCCAGGAGGGGCGCTACGGGGCCCAGGAGGGGCACGACGGGGGCCCAGGAGAGGCGCTACAGGGGCCCAGGAGGGGCGCAACGGGGCCCCAGGAGGGGCGCGACGAGGCCCAGGAGGGGCGCTAAGGGGCCTAGGAGGGGCGTGACGGGGCCTGGGAGGGGCGCTACAGGGCCCAGGGAGGGCGCGACGGGGCCCAGGAGGGGCGCTACGGGGCCCAGGAGGGGCGCGACGGGGCCCAGTAGGGGCGCTACGGAGCCCAGGAGGGGCGCGACGGGGCCTGGGAGGAGCGCGACGGGGCCCAGGAGGGGCGCTACGGGGCCCAGGAGGGGCGCTACGGGGCCTGGGAGGAGCGCGACGGGGCCCAGGAGGGGCGCTAGGGGGCCTGGAGGGGCGCGACGGGGCCTGGGAGGGGCGCGACGGGGCCTGGGAGGGGTGCTACGGGGCCCAAGAGGGGCGCTACGAAGCCCAGGAGGGGCGCGACGAGGCCCAGGAGGGGCGCTACGGAGCCCAGGTTGAGCGCTACGAAGCCCTAGGAGGGGCGCGACGGGCCTGGGAGGAGCGCGACGGGGCCCAGGAGGGGCGCTAGGGGGCCTGAGAGGGGTGCGACAGGGCCCAGTGAGGGGCACGACGGGGCTAGGGGGGGTCGCGACTGGGTGAGCGGAAGCGGTAGGTGGGGGGGATTCCTACCTACGCGTGATACCATATCAAATTGAAAATTGAATGTATGATAGAGTGAGAGTACACAAAGATATACCTAAGTGTTGTACTCTCTAAGAGGCGACCCTATACAGTCTATACAAACATGACAAATACACATGTTTGACATATTTGGGGGGGTGACCCTGATGAGACAGGTTTTTTTCACGACAATGGCCTGAAATTTCAGCGTTTTTCTAGGAGTGAACTCTGATTGATAAGCGTGACAAGTGTAGTGAGGCCTGTTTTTTCGGGGCCCGATCCTGATTCTTGTAATAGCGTATTCCTAGCCCCAACCCCCCCACCCGTGATTTTCGTGATTTCCCCCCCCAACCTCCCTGTCAATCACGCCGACTTGACTGTGACCGACCAGAATCCCGCCCCCCTGGAGAGGATTCGGCCATTCTTCATCCAGCACACAATACTCGGCAGGTTCTCATAGGCTGTTCGAAAGTAGCCAGCCACTGCTGTCTCCAGCACATACCGTAGGTGACGGTTGATTCAGTGCGAAAAAATTACAACACCCTGATTGATCAGCGTAAGATTTTTTGCGAGGCCTGAAAAAACAGGGAGCTAAAGGAGGGGGACCCTGAGCGATCAGCTTGCCCCAAAACGAATCTGAGGCCCTGGTGTACGGTCATTTGTTGGACGAAGATCATGTATGTATCCCATATGAAACGCTGCCTTTGCAAGAGGACCTAAGCAAGCTCACAATGCTCCATTTTTACTGCAGCTAGTCCAAATCATAGAATGGAAAGCTATAACAATATTCCAGTGATATAAAATCAAGCCTAGCTACAACTACCGTACGTAAAATCTGGTGAGAAAACTTGCAGCGGCTACCACACAAGGCATCTGAAAGCTCCTCTTGATTGCAACCAGATTGCCTAAGCTGGCGAGAAAAGCTGACTAAAGCATCCCAGGCCCAGCTGACTAATGCATCCCTCCCAGCTGACTAAAGCTGACTACAGCATCCCAGTCCCAGCTGACTAATGCATCCCAGCTGACTAAAGCTGACTAAAGCATCCCATAGGCTGATGCGCTACACTGCTGCAGCTGCTGCTGCGTCGCCCGCCTACAGAAGCTCATACACTACGGGTAGAGCCACCCTGCTGTGCCTTTGGCTGTGCCTGCTGCTCCAGGCAGCTCCCGCCAACGCGTGCATCCTCCTTCCCCACCCTGCTGCTTGATCCATCCCTCTCTCTCCTTCCCTGACACACTCTAAGCCTGAGCATCTTCCAAACCACTCTGCACCGTTTGGGACACAGCTCTCAGCCCTTCAAACCACTCCGTGGCTTGATCCGACCCCCCACCCACATAGTCTACGCCTGAGCCTCCTCCAAACCACTCTGCACCGTTTGAGATGCAGCTCTCAGCTCTTCAAACCACTCCTCCGTTGCTTGTTTTGACCCACTCCCAAACCCCTGCTCTCCCCCCACTCCTCCCCCCACCTTCATTCGCAATGTCTGACTGCTGTGCGTACTGCATCAGCTCCCCCCGACAAGCTGACTTTGAAGTCGATTCAAAAGTCTGCTGCGCGCACTGGAGGCACCTCCTGCAGACTCTCCTCCTCTCCCTTAACCGATCCATCCCTCTTTTTCCCCCACCCAACTTACTCTAAGCCTGAGCATCCTCCAAACCACTCTGCACCGTTTGAGAGGCAACCCTCAACTCTTCAAACCACTCTTCTGTTGCCCTGTCTGACCCGCCCAGCCCTTGCTCCCCCACCCACTCCTCCTCCCCGGCAATGAGCTCGTCTGCCACACCCTCGTCCGCGATGTCAAACTGCTGTGCATACTGCAGCAGCTCCTGCAGACTCTCCTTCTCGCGCTTCAGCATAGTCACCTCCCGGGCCAGCTCTGCCTTCTCTCGTAGCAGACGCTCCACTTGCATGCGCAGCTGCAGGGGAGAAGGGGAGAGGGGGAGAGCGGATACACAAGGAGAAGGGAGTGTGAGAGAGGGGATGTGCATACTGCAGCAGCTCCTGCAAACTCTCCTTCTCGCGCTTCAGCATCATCACCACCCGGGCCAGCTCTGCCTTCTAACGTAGAAGACGCTCCACTTGCATGCGCAGCTGAGGAGTTGACAGGGGTGGGTGCGTGCGGGGGAGGTGGGGATTGAGTCTCAATCGATGCGCCAGCTCTGCCTTATCCCTCAGGAGACGTTCTACTTGCATGTGCAGCTGCAGGGGAGAGAAGGGGGGGGAGGGTGGGGGGGAGTGGAGGATTGAGTCTGAATCGATGCATCAGCTCTGCCTTCGCTCGTAAGAGGTGCATCTCTTGCATGGGCAGCTGACGAGAGGTGAACAAGGGGGGGGTGAAGGGGGAATGTGAGTCTGAATCGACAGGCCAGCTCAGGTGTCTCCCTCCCTCAACCGAGGCTTCACTCGCACGCGAGGCTGAGTGGGAGAGAGGGGATAAAGGATAAAGGGAAAGGGCACAAGAGGAAGCACATGCATACGTGTGATGTGATGTGTGTCTGTGTGTGTGTGTGTGTGTGTGCATGCGTGTGTCCTTCCTTCACCTCCAGCAGCTCCTTCTGCTGCTTCAACTCCTCCCCTCTTTCTAAGAAGAGCGCCCCTACAAGCAAGTTGCTCATTCAATGAGGGCAGGCTCGCAACAGCAGCACGGGCACGGCTCACACCCAACAGCAAGAGCCATGGCTCACACCCAACAGCAAGAGCCACGGCTCACACCCAACAGCAAGAGCCACGGCTCACACCCAACAGCAAGACCCACGGCTCACTTCCAACAGCAAGAGCCACGGCTCACACCCAGCAGCAAGACCCACGGCTCACACCCAACAGCAAGAGCCACGGCTTCACATCCAACAGCAAGAGCCACGGCTCACACCCAACAGCAAGAGCCACGGCTCACATCCAACAGCAAGAGCCACGGCTCAACACCCAACAGCAAGAGCCACGGCTTCACACCCAACAGCAAGAGCCACGGCTCACATCCAACAGCAAGAGCCACGGCTCACACCCAACAGCAAGAGCCACGGCTCACATTCAACAGCAAGAGCCACGGCTCACACCCAACAGCAAGAGCCACGGCTCACACCCAACAGCAAGAGCCACGGCTCACATCCAACAGCAAGACCCACGGCTCACACCCAACAGCAAGAGCCACGGCTCACATCCAACAGCAAGACCCACGGCTCACATCCAACAGCAAGAGCCACGGCTCACACCCAACAGCAAGAGCCACGGCTCACATCCAACAGCAAGAGCCACGGCTCACACCCAACAGCAAGAGCCACGGCTCACAATGAAGGTGTCTTCCTGCGAGTTGCGCAGCCCCTCGTTCTCCACCTCCAGCCTCTCCACCTGCTGCTTCAAGTCCTCCACCTCCTTCGCCAGGTCGCTCTCCTCCTTGCGGGACCCCGACCGCACGTACCGCTCACTCTCCCGGTTCTGCTGGGCCACACACAGGAAGGGGGGGAGGTGGGGGTTGGTGGGGTGGGGGACCTTGAGGCGCCTTATGGCTCTTCCACCTCCTTCGCCAGGTCGCTCTCCTCCTTTCTGGATCCCGACCGCACGTAGTGCTCAAGTCTCGGCCCTGCTGGGGCACAAGGGGAGGCGGGGAAAGGGGGGAAGGAAGGGGAGGGGGGGGGGGGGGGGGGGCGGGGGGCGGGCTGTGAGGCCTAGCTCCTCCAGCTCCTTCGCCAGGCCGCTCTCCTCCTTTCGACGAGGTGCCCTGCACGCACATAGCGCTCGCCTCTGGGAGCTGGTAGGGCAATGGAGGGAGGGGAGAGGCTACGGCTCTCCCCCAGCAAAGAGCAAGGATCCCCTGGGCCGAGGCACCCTGCGCTCGCCCTCTCGGTGCCGGTGCGGGGCAAAGCGAAAAACAAAGCGAGTGAAGGGAGGAGATGAGACGAGCTGGGCTTTCCCTTTCACTCCCTCGAGTGATCCCTTCTCCCGGCACTATCACCCTATCCCCAGCTTCCCCGCTCCCTCGCTCCCACCTCCCTCTTCCTCTCTACTGCCCTCACTCCTTTCCCCTCCCTCAACTCAACCCCCTCCCTTCCTTCCTTTCCCCAATCCCTTCTCTTTGTCGTATCTTGCTGACGCACCTTCCCCAGGTTAATCAGCTCTTTGTACCCAAGTTGCTTGGGTGATTCCGGAGGAGGTCCTTTAGCGGCCACTTCCTCCGCTATTTCAGGCAGCAGGCGGAATTCACCTGAGGGAAACACGGGAGGGGGGAACATGGGGATTCGGGAGCATGGGGGGGGAGAAACACAGGGAGGGGGGAATACAAGGAGGGGCAATACAGGGAGGGGGGAATACAGGGAGGGGGGAATACAGGGGCGGGGGAACATGGGGAGGGGAGAACACAGGGAGGGGGGAAGATGGGGGATGGGGGAACGCAGTGACTGGTAAGCATGGAAGATGACTTCTGAGGTGCCTCAAAGGGGGAGACTACTTTTGAGGCGCCTCAAAAGAGGGGGAAGATGGGGGATGGGGGAATGTGATGTGATGACTGGTGACGATGGGGGATGGGGGAATGTGATGTGATGACTGGTGACGATGGGGGATGGGGGAATGTGATGACTGGTAAGCAGGGGAGATTGGAGAGAAGTGGGGTAATGCGGGCGACTACCATCGCTGCCCCTTCTTGCGAATGCAATCTCATTACTGCGACATTCACGAGCTGGCCTCATTACAGCAGTCACCCACATTTCTGTCACACTTCTTACAGTCACACTCACCCATCCCAGCCACACTCGTTACAGTCGCAATCAACACAGGCGCTCTCACCATGGTGCCCTCAGCGGCACTTTAACGAGGAGTGGTCTTGTAGAGGGGGCTGGTCCACTATTGCTAGTTACTCGTTACAGTCACACCCGTTACAGTCACACTCACCATGGTGACCTCTGCGGCACTTGAGCGAGGAGAAGTGGTCCTTGTAGAGGGGGTTGGTCCACCAGCGCTGCATCTTCTGCGAGCTGAAGGGGCCCTGCACCTCCCCGTGCATGTCCACGTAGAACCACTCCTGGGAGAAGCAAGGGAGGGGCGCAGAGAGGGGCGCAGAGAGGGGCGCAGAGAGACATGCGAGGAGGCATGCACGTGTGAAGGGGGGCTGTGGGAGGGGAGGGACATGCGAGCTGAAGGGGCCCTGCGCCCCGCCATGCATGTCCACGTAGAACCACACTCCTGGGGGGACGAGAGGGGCGGGGTCACGGAGAGGAGCAGGAGGGGAGAGGGCGAAGAAACACGGGAAGGGGCCCTGCCCTGCGCTTGGCTTCCCCGTGCATGTCAACGTGCAACCACTCCTGCTCCGAACAGATGGCAGTGGAGAAGAGAAGAATCCGGAAGCCAGGGACGGATACACGGAAAGGGACAGAGGGAGGCAGAGGGAGGAGGGGAGGGAATGGTTGGCATTGGCCCGGCTTGGCCTCACAGGAACACATTCCTGCCTGC